TATCGTTGAACAGTATGCCATGAGGATTTTTTCAACCATTAAAATTATTTTAAAATACATTTTTAAATCAATTCTATAAAGTATATAACACAAGCCTCAACACCGTACTGTTGTATTGGGGGGTTGATTGTTTTTGCTGCTATTTATAAATAAGGCTGTAACTAATATTCTATTATGCAAATAGCTCTCTACATCTCTGATTATCTTCATATGCTACATGCAGCATAGGAAGCCATTTCAGTCGAAGGAATATAGCTTTATTTTCTTTACAATGCAGTGAATACTTGTGAGTAAAAACAATGCCGAAGAAGAAAAGGTAGAACTCAGAAATAATGGAAGTGCTGTAACAGCTCTTCAGTTAAAATGGAATGCATAAATATCCAGTCATAAATGTTTTATAGCTTTCGATACATATTACTAAATGATAGATATGTCTCTTGATAAAAATATGGGGTGCTGTGGTGCAGTCCCTGGGACCACTCCTGCTGTTCTGAGCATGTTGGTCCTAGAGGCAGAGCACTGACCTGGGATGCTGATAATTGCCCCCTTCTCCTCACTGAGGACGGGGTTGTAGATGAAGCAGGACACGGACTCTGCATAGGCGTTCTTCACCAACAAGAGTGGTTTCCACATAGAACAGGCCATCTTCATCTTGGATGTGATGCTCAGACACGGCCAGCAACTTCTCTCCTTGGATGTCTTCCCAATACACCTGGGGCTCTGGGAACCAGCCCCTTGTAGTGTACACAAGCTGGACTCCACTTTCCACAGATCCCTCCATGTGAATGTTAGGGGCAGACCCCAGACCTGCAGAGGGAAGCCACAGCTCTGACACCCAGAGCCCATGGAGGCAGAAATCACAGAGACTGAGATCGCAGTGACGCTGCTCACAGGGAGAGATGGTTGGAGTTCAAGAGTCTGAGGAGCAGAAAGTTGACCAAAGTCTCCCCATTCAAATTTGAGTACAGATACACTTTATTTGTTCCCCAGTCTGGGTCTTTACATTTTAGCATCGGACAAGTATTTTTCTCCAGATCCAGAAAGGGGAATCAGAGAAGGGGGACATGATGACATTTTGGAACGCCTCTAGCACTGTAAACAAGATGTAGTGTGATTTATTCATTAATTCTTCTGTGCCATGAACTCCGCCTTTTCCATCTTAAAATTGTCTGTATTGGGAACATTGTTTGACATTTTAGATGATGTCTGAAACTCCAATTTAGACAGAATATTTAACATAAAGTCAGAAATCACTTCCCTGGGGCCTGTGCTTTCTGCATCTTTTGCTGGTGGCTGTGATCTTGGAAAGCAGGAGGATAAATGGGACTATGTGAAATGTGAAGATCCATGAGTTTTTCTGTAGCTAAATATTCTATTCAATGGGTAAAATGGTTTTGAGAAATCTTAGTTTAGAACAATTTATGAAATCATGATTTTTTTCCCCTCTAGTATGAAATTCCCAAACCCAAACTCAGAGGACTATATTTTCCATAAATGGGAATTCTGTCTTGATCACTTGCTGGTAAAGGAGAGATCTACTCCCTTCCCTTGGAGCCTTAGAAAACTTGTGACTTATTTGTAAATGTTCCTTCTATTGAAATACATCACCATGTTCCCGGTCCCCCACATCTCAGAAATACAGGGAATCTTCCATCTGTTTTGAATCACCTCCAACATATTAAAAGTAATGAATGTTAAGGAAAAACAGTTATTAGGAAACAGCCTCTCAGGGAAGTAAAGAAGGAAGCAGTATCAGCTGGGGACGTTAACATCTCCATTTACCTTAGTAATTGGATTTACTTGATTTTCTCTTTAGAACATGGAGGAGTTAGTCCTGTCAGGGAATCATATGATGGTTTATATTTCATAAGACAGATCCATTCTTCAGTTGTCCCCTTCCTCCCCACCCCTTCCTGCTTAGCTAATACAACAGCAATCTGAAGAACCTTCCCATTCACAGTGGGTGTGTCCAAAAGCATCTGTGAGGCCCCAATTCATTGAACATTAGTGTATGACAATCTCCAAAGCACAACATTCTTGGCCTCTTCAGTCTCATTACTAGCTTTCTAACTGAGGGCATTTCACCAAGAAAGAACCTTTTCACATCTCAGTTTCTGCATAGGCGGGGTTGGGTAGAGAACAACCGATGCCCTGAGATACAGATGTGGGGCAGTCAGCTGGGCTCACTCATGCAGCAATTGGCTTGCTCTTGCACACCAGCCTTAGGCAGCACTAACGTGTGTCTCGGCAAAATTGCTAATGACTGTATGTCATGGATTTCTAATAATCCTCAAGAACAGTCAAAACTGTGCAAATTAAATTTTGGAAAATATTTTAACACTAAGCTTGCTTTGAAGACTCAAGAACCACTTATTTTTAAATCAATCAGGGCAGAGGACTAAGCATTAGGAATTACCTGGGTGATTCAAAGGGAATTCCTCAACTGACAAAAAGCTTACCACAAAATACACTTCTGCCTCCTGAGACCCTGTGTCTTTCCCCAGATATTCACCTGCTACTTTGAGCAGCAAGCTTGTTTCTCCACAATAGTCCCCATCCTGGAAATGACACCAGTATTGTCCATTGTCGGAGGGCTGGATGTTGTATATCTTCAGTGCCACGCTTCCCTTTGCAATGCCATCCTCTATCAACTCTACCCGGCCTTTGTACTCCTCCATCTGCATCTCAGTAACCTCCACTCCAACCCTGTGCGTGAACACAGGTGTGCTGGGCTCCGAGCGGTACCACCTCACCTCCATGTGCATTGCGGTCCTCTTGGGGAGTAGCTGGCAGGTTAGCAGGACATCTTCCCCAACCCTGGCCAGGATAGGATGAGCAGGACCAATGACCCGAAGGTCATCTACAAAATGAGTGAAAAAGAGGACGAGGAAACGACAATCAGAAAATCAATATGCATGCTTTGGGGTGTCCAGTCTATCAAAATGGAGGCAACTAGAAGAGGGTGGGATGTCTGTTTCATGTTTTAGAGAAATCTGGCGTGATGATTTGCACATTTGCTTGTTACACAGTCATTGTGTGTACTGAAAATAAATGCAGTTCAAAAATGTGAGTGAGAGTGCTGTCTGCCACTTACTGTGATTTGGGGGCTAATCTATTATTCGTGGTAAGATTTTGAGATTTGCAGTCTTAATTTCTTCATCTTCAAGATATTAACACCACCATACCTGTTTTTTTATTTTCAAGTAAATTATTTATTACTTGAGTCATTAATCTTCATGTAAATTGACTTTTAAATTGGAAATCTTATTCTTGTTATTAACATTTTATTTTCCTAAAATTTAGGTAATAAATCAATTTATTAGCTTTTTTAGCCTGTCAGGATTCCTCTTCTCCTAGATATGAAACTGGGCTTTTTTTCTTTTTTTTGCCTGGAGTAGGCAAGAGGCCAATTACTGGGACTATGTACAAGGCAGTTTCCACAAGGACATTTGTGCTGGATTAAGGACAGTGGTTTGTCTAGAGATTTTGAGTCTTCCAAACAAATTCTAAGACATGTCTGATCTCTTCTGTGTATCTCCAAATTGAAGAGATGTTTAACAGTTATGTATGTTATTATATTTGATCATTTTATGTCATGTATAATATGTTCTTTCTCATCTTAAATGCTCTGGGGACATTTGCTCTTTCTCTATGCAGATCCAATCCTATTAAGAAGAACCTCACCCTACTTAGCTGCTTCCGGGTATCAAATAGATGCAGCTCAAAAGGTGGCTAAAAACCCAAGTGGAGATCTGCTTGCATTATGCATTATTCATTGATGAATAATGAAGCTAGAACTGAAGACATCCCATCGGATTGACTGTTACAGGGTAGGGAGCTGCAGCACGAGCCCAGAGAAGGCAGCAGCCTCATCACAGCACACCAGTGCAGTGCCCAGGCAGAGCCCGTGCCCTCTTATGCCCTGTCCAGTGTTTTTTTTTCCACATTGCCATGCTGCATTTTCCTTGGGGCTCTGACAACTGCCTCTGACACTGAATGTAAAAAAAAATTTTTTTTAATTAAACTTTTAAGTTCTGGGTTACATGTGCAGAGCGTACAGGTTTGTTACATAGGTATACATGTGCCATGGTGGTTTGCTGCACCCATCAACCCATCATTTACATTAGGTATTTCTCCTAATGCTATTCCTTCTCTAGCCCCCACACCCCTGATAATCCATGGTGTATGATGTTTCCCTCTCTGTGTCCATGCATTGTCATTGTTCAACTCCCACTTATGAGTGAGAACATGTGGTGTCTGGTTTTCTGTTCTTGTGTTAGTTTGCTGAGAATGATGGTTTCCTGCTTCATCCATGTCCCTGCAAAGAACATGAACTAATCCTTTTTAATGGCCGCATAGTACTCCATGGTGTATATGTGCCACGTTTTCTTTATCTAGTCTATCATTGATGGGCCCACTGAATTTTAATAATTCTTTTTCAAGGTGGAACGTTTGACTGACAAAATTTGGCTAGTGAGATTTCCAAGTCTATTTCTTCGAGGTCGCCTTCTAATTTCTTATTTTTATTTATTTAATTTTTTTGCAGCCAAATTTATGGTAAGAAGCAACTGCATTTCTTGACCCCAAAGTGCTGTCCTGTTGGAAGCAGGAGAGTGAATTAATAATTTAACATGGTGCAGCCACTTGTTCAAGTGCTTTTAATGTCTTATTTAGTCCTAAAGCCTGTGCTGGCCTCTTAGACATAGTTACTACTGCTATTCTCATTAAAAAGATGGAAGAACTAAGGCATGAGGTGCTCAAGTAACTTTCCAGAGGTGACTCAGCTAGGAGTGGAGGAGCTCCTGGGAGTGGAGGAGCTCCTGGGATTGGAGGAGTTCCTCAAAAGTCAGGAGCTCCTTTTTGGACACAGGTGTGTTGGCCCCAGGACTTACATGCTTAGATGTTGTTCTAGACCTTTGGACCTAGGCTAGCTCCCTGGGACTTTAGACTATACAGTAAAGGGAGAAAGGAATCCTACCTGATTGCTTCATTGTCAGCAGGATGAAGAAGAAGGAGGCAATTACACCAGACAGACTGTACCCTGGAAAATCCACCATCCTCCCTGGAACAAACACAAGGAAACACTGTGCCCGAGACTGTGACAACCCAGCATACTCCATGGCTTCCACTGGTTGTGCAGTCTTAGCAGACAATCTGCATCAACCCCTTCACAGTCCATGAAATGGGCTTGGCTCCATTTTTCTGCAATTATTGGTCACATCCAACCCTTTTTCTAATGTGTTATATTATGAGACAAAGTAGCAAACGTAAGAAGCCATGTTTGCTCATTTCTTCTTGCTAGCATACTTCCACAAAGCCCCTGAGTCTGTGATGACCTGCAGCTCTCGGGAAAGATGCTTTAAAGACAAACAAGATTGAACACACGGCTTCCCATTGTCTTGCCTGAGTCACTCTACTGCTTAAAAGATAAGCAATCATAGCCCTTGTCTTTTCCTACACATAAGATAATGTCTGATTGAAGGATACCTCTGCAACCTATGACCAGATCTGCTCATACATCCAAACGTTGATGTAATTTCGGTTCAATGTAACTTCTGAGCTAGTTTGATGCACTGATTAATATGTAAACTACTGACATCAAAAAGGATATGGATTTGTTTCTGAATCATGAAGTTTTACTGATTATTTTGTGCATAAAATATTTTAGCCTATATATTGTCATCTGTATCCAATGATTGTAAGCTCTGTATTACACCCTCCAATGAAAAAAGACAACTCCGATGTGAAGAGCCCCTATCCCTCCTCCTAAACTTCCTTACAAAAGCCTTCCAACTTGTAACAGACTTTGGGACACCCTCAACTTCATTGGTGTGTCTTCCTGCATCAATCCTGACATTTGGCTTCCAATAAATCTTTATCAAATTATTCCTGCCTCAACAACCCTAATTTCAGAAGACAATATTTTAAGCAAGTTTTTATGCATGAGGAAGTCTTGTGACTGAAATGAAAAGACACTTCAGGTAAAGGGACAATAATATTTTTTTTAAAAACCCAGACCAAATCAAACCAAACAGAACTCCTTAGATTCATCGGTTGTGAGCTTGCAAAACTTATAGATTCAAGTGTTTTTTTCTTGTCCTCCTCCCAATTCCGCCTTCAAAACCTTTCTTTGCCACAGTTTTCAACATGCGGAGGGAAGGGCAGGAAGACCCTGCATCCCAAGACTGCACCCAGAAGGCCGACATTCAGTGCTCACACTCAGAACCGGGGGCACAGGAATGCTATGGGAAGTGAAAGAAAGAGTAGTAGAAAGATGGCCGGGAAAATATCTGTAAGTGGCCTTTAGAATAGACTTAAAAACACAGGAATGAATTTAAAAGAAGCCCAACTGCCAGAAATTGGCAAACCCCAAAGCCCACTGCACCAGCATAACAAAAACACTTCACAGCTGAAAAGCCTAAAACTGACCAGGACAAGGCTGGAAGGCTAGCTGTACTACTGAAAAACACAAAATTCACAGTGAAAGAAGTCTAGGACTTCTTACATGTCATGTGTCGAGTGTTTTATTCAAAGAAAACTTGCTTCACATCAAGTGGAGAAACCAGCTCAGGAGCAATGTTGAATCAATTACTGCTTCCTTTTTTCCCAGAAATGAATGTTAGTACGATTTTATGGGACAGGGGAAAAAAAATCAACATTCTGAAATGGAGGTTGACAAGCAAATGAGTCAGGAGATTATTGTTACTCAAATATTGCCCATTTGCTTTATAAAAATATGTACTTTCATATAAGATTATCTCTAAGGAAACTTTCATGAGCCCATTCACAACACCCAGATCTGAAAGGGCAGTATGATGTTTATGTGAAAATGGGGCTGGGTGCTATAAGAGAGTGCAGATCATGAGCCTCTTACCACCTGAAACTTACCAGTCACTACCCCTTAGGGTGTTGCTGATGCCTCCTTGCCTCCTCTTGTGAAAAGCAGGAACTATTTTTTCCCACCAAGTAAGGGCAAACAAAGCCCCACAGCATCCATGCCAAGTGTGATTTCTCAGCTGTGTGAACTAAAATGAAACCACACTTGCTACAGTCCCCTTTAGAGGCTTGTATTCCTGCAGGTCTTTTATATCAAAGCAGTGGGAGGGAAAGCTTACAAATGAACTCTCAAAAAAATTGCTCAAATCAATGAAGCCTTTGAAGAATGTTGGGGAAATACACCGTCCCTTTCTTTAGCGCTCAGACAGATTGGTGAGACTGTATCAGGGAGAATAACCACCTTGGACCAGGGTTCTTAATGGGGAAACACGTGGTTTTTGCCCTTAGAGGACATTTGGCAATGTCTGGGGTCATTTTCAGTGGTTACAACTGGGGGAGGGGACATATATTGGGTAGAAACCAGGGATGCTTCTGAACATTCTATGATGCGCATGGCAGCCCCACAGCAGACAATCCTCAGCCCAGAACATCGGTGGTGCAGAGGAAAAGGCCTGCCACAGGGTTTGCTGTCAGGATGCTGAAAAGCTGTGGCATATTTTTTTGAAAATAGATAACTAGACTTAAATTGCAATCTAAAATGATAAGCTTTTGAACCCTCTGTTTACCATTTGGATGTAGTGCAAGAATCTTCTGAAACCGCTGTTCTTATTAAATATAGTAAATTTTGATGTCAAGATACATGATCTAATATGCAAATGTATCATCAAATTCTCATAAACTCATTTAATTTAATTTTCTGGATAAAGTGTTAAATTGTAACAATAAGTGACAACTTATGTTTAGGCATTAGATGATGAACAATTCTGGATTTCAAGGCCCATCCTGCACTACTGAAGTTCATTTCAAAGAAAATTTCAAATTACTACCTATCATAGGTCATTAGAATTTTTTTCAGTAAAAGCCTCAAATGTTACTCCTCAAAATGCCAAGTAACCACAGTAACTAAGTGGTGAGAATAAGTTAATTTAGTTCACAGCTCATGAAGTTGGAAGCTTATATGTCTGTGTAGACATTAAAAACAGCTGTAGTTTATCATATGTTAAAACAATACTTTTTTTTGAGACAGAGTCTTGCTCTGTTATCCATGCTGGAGTGCAATGGCACAATCTTGGCTCACTGCAACCTCCACCTCCTGGGTTCAAGCGATTCTCCCACCTCAGCCTCCCAAGTAGCTAAGATTACTGGCGCCTGCCACCATACCTGGTTAATTTTTGCATTTTTTTTTAGTAGAGACTGGAGTTTCACCATATTAGTCAGGCTGGTCTCGAACTCCTGACCTGAGGTGATCCACCCACTTCAGCCTCCCAAAGTGCTGGGATTACAAGCATGAGCCACTGCACCCAGCCAAAACAATACATTTTTGTAGAGAAAGCTAAAATAAGATTTCTAGGTGACAAGGCAGATTTAAAAAAATTTTTTAAATTAGTTTTTCTTGGTGACCTTGGACACCTTTACTTTACTTTCTTGGGCCTCCATTTTCTCTACTGTCTGCTGGAGACAATCATCGTAACGTTGGCCCAGCGATGTCATGACCACGTGACCGAGGAGGACATCAAGGCCCAGAGACGAGCCCCACATCACCCAAGACAAATGAATAATGTGAACCTGGTTTTCTTGTTTTTAATCTAGTGCCTCTTCCTCACTCAGCCTGCTTCACAAGAACACTGTGAGGATCAAATGGGCTGTAATGGCACTCTGACCTGCACGGTGGATATCAATGTAACATACAAGTGGGAGGCAGTGTAGCGTTTCCCTCAAGGACATTGATTCTGTCCATATGTCCTACTTTCTAATCTGAGACAATGTCCCAGCTTCCCATGGCCATCTTTCACCAGGGCCCCCACATTCACGTGTCTCCCTCTCTCCTTTGGGGTGACCACCTGGTGCTACTGGGTCTTCTCACTTGGCCCCGGATGTATCCTTCATCCATATAGCAGGGGGTCAAAGACAGGTCAGAGTCCCGAGGTGTGCAGATCAAAGACAGAACTGTGGGAGCCAGAGAGTGTGGAGGTGGCTGCAGCTCCCCCAGGACTTTGGGTGAAGGAGACGGTAAGCCGTCTCACCCAAGCTGAAGGCAGAGCCAAATCCCTGAGGCCCTCTGAAAATGAGATTGCATTATGAAAATCAGAATAGTACACTCACCTACTACCAGCTATAATCCTCTTGAAAGTGACACTCAGGGGACAAGTGGACTTTGGCTGGGTTGAGTTGTGAATTCCGCAGACCTGCAGACAAATCACGACACTGGCACTTCTCACCTTCCCCAGAAAGCCAAGGCATCCATGGGAGCCTTATCTGCAGCCCCCCAACTCCCCCACACCTTCCCCCCAGTTAGGTCCTCACGCAGACCCCACCGTCCCGCAGCACCTCGTTCGGGTGCTGTCTTCACTCTTCCCTCCACCTTGCCACACATCAAAGATTCCCAACTAGTGTCAAGTCTCCACCAGAGCATGGCACTCATAGGGCTGGAGCTGGAAGCAAAACTGAATGTCAAATGTGCCTTCCCTCATTCCACTGATGAGAGTCGAGGCCCAGAGAAAGGAACTGCCCTTTCCAGGATCAGAGCACCAGGCCAAGGTCCCTCGCGGGCTACTTTAGTGCTGTTTTTCCTTAGGTACTTTATCTCCTTTTGCTGAGTGATAAAAGGTTTAATTACTCTCAATATTTACCAAAGAAATTTAATAAGCTTCTCAGCATAATACTTGGGCACAAAGAGTGTAATAATAGGGATTTTACAGGCACATTTTGTGTGTGCGTGTTTGTCTCTGCTAGATTTTCCTTTACATTCCCCTTAAGTCTGTGTTCCGTGAGCTAGAGGGTCTCCGATAGAGACTCAGGATTTCAAAAGTTCTCCAGAATAATTTTAATTTAATTGTAGATTTTCATGTCAATATAAACTTTGTAGCATTATGATGTTACAAGGTTTGAGTCAATTTTTTCCTGAAGTTTCTTTCCCTCCACTGTTATGAGCAGCCCATAATTGGGCCCCCTAACTTATGGTTACTATTCTTAATGTAAGGGCTCCCTGCTCCATCCTTCAGTGGAGACAAAGACCCCATTGTAGGGGATGAGAGGTTTGCAGAGAAGAGAAACAATTAAATGTGCATAAGGATAGGAGAGCCTCTTTACCCTGTTTCTCTCTCAATTAGAGTAGAGGGGAACGAACCCCACTGCACCTCTTGTTCCCAGAATGATGGCGATGCCCACGGACGTCCCTCTCAGAGTAGCAGCAAGGGAAGAGCTCCCCAAGGCAAGAAGTGGCAGCTCTGGAAAGCTCCAACAGTGGGATGAAAGTTTGCTGCCTAAGATGCTGGCATGGAATGTTCCAGCAAGAGGAGAGCGGTGCCAAGGACAAAACCGTGATCACCGCCAGTGTGGGAAGGACACTGGCGCGATGGGAGCCACGATGGGATAGTGACATACTGTGGGGAGCACGATGGGATAGTGACATACTGTGGGGGCTGAAGATGCAAACGTGAGGAGAGCCTTCCTCACCAGCCCTGCGCCCTCCCACCTCAGAACCTAGAGATCACACGGCGGGTGAGGGAGAGGCTGTTTTTAAGTTAACTGTGTGAAAGCCAGCGAATTTATCTGAAAATTACTCCTCTGTTATAATAGAGGAGTTCATCGGGTAATAAATAATAAATTCACACTATTATTTCACACATAATAGGGCTTGGCATAAAAATTAGAATCCGT